CTGAAGTCGTACGCTTAACCGACTGTGCCACCCAGGCGCCCCTCATGCCTTATCTTTTTGCCAACCATTTAGTCACTTGCCATTTCTCAGAATTTACCAACAAGTTGAGGAGATAACAATGATTTAAAGTGTTTAAACCTTGGGAATTTGGAGGAGGGGAAAAAGGTTGGCAACTAGTGAAGATTCAAGGAAGTTGGCATAAAAAGATGGCATCTATGCACTTTCAGTACCAATGACTAATATGCTAACAAGTAAAACAGCCTGTTTTCTGACTGTGCTTAGGTAGCGCTTTTTTACCCACAGCTACAGGAGTGTAATAGAAGAAAATGGGACTTTGCAGCCAGGTGTCCAGTGTTGTTTGGTAGTGTAATTGAGCCAATAGGAGTTTGCTCTTTGGTGAGTCAGAAAGTGCACCAGGTTGAGTTGTGGCACAAAGAAAGCTTTTATTTGCAGGGAATCAAGAGATCGTGGGGAATGGCTTCCAAAGCTGTACCTCCCCAAGATAGAGTGAACTGATTCCTTTTGTTTAGGGTTAAAATGAATATTTAGATAGGGAAGCCTAAGGTCAAACTTGTGCCTTAAGGAAAGGAGGCTTGCATTACAAGGATACTTGTATGTTATGTAAATGAAGTTAAGACTCTTCCTTGGGTGGAGATTTTAGTATTATAATGAGGTAAAGGCAATTGTGGGTCATTCCAGAGAGATCATCTCAGGGTCCTTCTGAGCTGGCATGAGTCAGTTTTAGCTTAAATGGTCTGGGTGGTCTGGGCCAGTGGGAGGTCTTGTCAGGGCAGTCGCCATCACCTGGGGGTGGTTTCATGTTTCATTTGCCTGAGTAAAGAGGAAAGCTGCAAAGAAGAGCTTAGGGGAAAATATAAAACAAAGGTTAGTGAGTACAATCAGGTGAGCAGTAAAGGCCAGGTCTTGGGGTGTAGCTGGTGACAGTAATAGGTACATACCCGTATGTGTACATTTGTGATTGGCCCTGATAAATTGGAATCTACTTGGAGGCTAAACTACAAAAAGGAAGTTATTTCAGTGTCCTGAGAGGACAGGAAGGTGGGAGCTGGAAGAGCTGAGACCAAAATATCTGGTACTTGCTTCCCATATCCTATAAAAAAGGGAAAGTTTTCTACCTCAAGGTTTAGTCTTCCTCATTTTTTTATTTTCCAGTAGTATTCTGATTGCTCATCAGTATGTATAGCATTTCAGTGTACTTGCATGTACAACTTAGTGTAAAAATACATTTCACTACAACAATGGTTTTGCCAAACCACTAACAAAAATGTAGTGTCCTGTAATATTAGCATGTTGGTACCTAGTTATTTTTCTAACTGCTGGCTCAACCAACAAATATTGGATGATAATTTCTTTAGTCATCTGTTTTCATAAAATACATATCCAGTTATTCTTCCCCTCCACTTGACTGTTAAACTGTTTTCTTCCCTTTGCCCCATATCATGTTTTACAATCAATACTTTTAGTACAGATAATTACCCACTATCTAAAAACACCTTTACCATGGTGCCTGGGTGGCTCAGTGG